AAACCTCCACTCGCCTGCGGGCCCTCTCACCCTGTCCTCTCCAGGCGGAGTCGGGCTACACCCGCCGGTTCCTGAGCCCAAACAAACAGGTGGCCCCCCAGGAGGAAGCTGTCCCTGCCTTCAAAAGACCCAGTTCAAAACAATTTCACAACCGATTAGCATTTTAGCATAAATGCCAGGTTAATGGAGTACCTGGAATTTCAAGTCATGCAAAGCAAAAAAAAAAAAATCAAACAAACATCTTCTTTGCAATAGAGACATGAACATGATCAACTTTGAACAGGCAACCTCTGCAAACCAGGGGACCGGCTGAGGTTTGGAAAGAGCAGTGGAGATGCCGGAAGCTCGCGGAGTGTATTTCAGTATATAAATGTGTGACAGGGAAAGAAAGAAACCACGTACCCACGACACAGGACACACACCGACTGTCCCTCTGGGATTCCCCACACACGGTGCCAAATGATCTGGGGAGAATCCCAGGCAGTTGCCCAATTCTGTGTCACTCTGGCCTTATGGAAATGAAAGCTGATTAGTGCCTTTCAGTTCTCCTTTCCTATCTTCATTACCTCTTTCCTGGTGAGGGTGGGAGTGAGGGCTGAAGTGAAATAATGCTATAAAAATGCCAAAATAATAGTCTCAGGGCTGCTTCCAGTGTGGGAACTCATTTCTGGGGGCCAACGGTGGTTCAGATCCAGCCTCTGCTACTTAATCACTCCTGACCACGTTGGCCAAGTGACTTAGACTCTCTTGCCTTAGTTTCCCCCTCTGTACAGTGGGCACGACACTTGTTCGGGCAGAGGAGTGTTTCAGCACCACAAGCATGGACTGGAGCCCATTGCCAGAGCTGGGCACACCTTAGAGCATCAGGAGTGGAGATGTGGCCTTCCCCGCAGAGCACCACGCAGGCTGCTGCCCTCACTAACCACCCCCCCCCCCCAGGGATGGACGGTTAACACTTCACACACACAGCACCTGCAGGTCAGGAGAGAAGGAAGTGCCCAAAACAAGCCCAGATCCAACCAGCGTCCCCCTGGCTTCACTGCTGGCCCCCTGTGCTGCTTGCTGGGTTATTACATTTACCTAAAACTTTGACCCCCAGCTGGCCATTCATTAGAAGCCTCTATTTATTTATGAATGGTGCTGAAATCTAAGATACATAATGCTTTTCACACGACACCTGGCCTCACATGAACAAAGCCAGCAACACTGCCAGTCTCTAAAGATCGCGCCCAGCGTGTTAACTGACAAGCTTACCAAATAGATGTTATTTCAAAGAGGCATTTAGTTGCTTCCAAAACAAAAGAAGTCCATGGCTGCTTCAGCAGAGCGCCCGTCCCAGGGCAGGCCCCCAAACCCTAGTGCACATCGAGAAGTTTCCACGCCACCCTCCCGGACCTCACACCTGCACAGAGTTGTGCATAGGACTTGCAGCCCCGAGACGTGACTGGGTGGCCCAGGGAAGGGCCCAGGGAAGGGACGAGCTGGGAAGGGCTGTTGCTGCACCATGCGGAGGAAGAGCTGGCTCCTAAGCCACTGGCAATAGTGAAACACAGGTTTCCTTTTTCTGGGTCACACATTCTTGAGTGAGCCTCTCCCTGGACGTGGGGGAAGAGAATGCAGGTGGAAAGTCACTGCTCCGTGTGAGGACGTAATTATTGCCTGGGACAGAGGAGAGTGCTCAGTGTTTGTGGGGACTGGAAGGGGGTGGAGGGAGACCCTGGAGGGGAGTGCAGAGGTGGCGGCTCCCTGCAGAGGCTCCAGGGTGGAGGGGCAGCCTCCCCATTCAGCCCTCGCAGGTCACCGGGCCTGGGCAGCCTGGGCAGAGTGTGGACCCGCGTGTGAAGAGCCCAGGTGACAGGGGTGCTTGAGGCCTTCTGAAAAGATGCCCAGCTGGCCAGGCCAGCACGGCCTCCCCGCAGGGGAGCCTTTTCTTAGGAAAATGCCACAAGCCCTGCAAGGCTGCTGCTTGTAATAAATATTTGGTCTTCGTCCCCAGTTCCTGGCACCCTGTTCCAAAAATGCTTGGAGTCTCCCAAGTGATGTATTTTGTGTGCTGGTGGCTGGGGCCACTGGACAGCTCAGGAGGAGGGCTGGTCACCAGCAAGACCAAGACAGGACTGGAAGGGCTGAAAGCTGCAGCCCCACTCCCAACCTCCCGGGAGGGGTGAGGGGCCGGAGACTGGATTCTCACCGATGGCCAGGGGTTTCACCCATCCTGCCCATATCATGCATCTGCCCTCCACGAGGGGATCAGAGGCTGCGGCTGGTCAGCATGAGAAGTGCCCAGAGTGCAATGCCTGCAGAGAGAGCTGGAGGCCGACCCCTTCCCCACCAGGCCCTGCACATCTCCTCTAGCAGCTGCTCCTGAACCTGTGTCCGGTGCTACAAACTGGTAACAGTGAGCAAACGGGCCGTGTCCTTAAAGTCACACCTCATATTCCTTCTGTAACAGCTGTTTGAGGACCTCGGGTTCTGTCAATTTTCCTTCCGGGAGTTTGGCCGAATAGCAAGAATATATAACCACGTGGACATAGGCTTCAAAGTACATTTGGGGTCCAGCTGGGGGAGGGAGTCGGCTGTGCAGTCAGAGCCTAGAAGGCGGAGGCGGACGGCGCTGTCGGCGTCCTGCCAGGCCGGCGGCGCGGGCTCACCTGCCGCTGCGGGCTCACCTGCACCTAACAGGGATGTGACGGAACCTCCCACCGCAGACTATTACAGGAGGAACTCGGACTAGCCTGGCTGGATCCCCTTGCCAAAGGACGCCCTGAGGTATGCCGCGGTCAGCCAAGATGCTGGTCCGAGGGTGGAGAAGGCCATGGACAGGGTCCAAGCACCCGGGTGGGTCTTGCTCCCAGCTTCCCAGAAGCCAGGCAGATCCCGGCAGGGTGTCCCCACTGGTGGGTGTGCACAGGACCCAGGCCACCCAGCGCTCCCGCCACAGACCACACTGCCAGACCCTTTCCCAGGCTGTGCAGGGCCCGGGGCCTGTCCACCAGCTGGCCGGCCAGCTTGTCCGAGGGAGTCGGCACAAGCCACAGCACAAGGCAATGACAAGTTCTCACGTCTTCATCTGGCTGAGAACACGTAAAAGTCAGGAACTACGAAGAAACTTGTAAAACAAAACAGGACCGTGTGTGCACTTCGCCCTCTGCACACGAAAGGTAAAAAGTCTCCGGGGAGCCGAGGAAGGAGGGCTCAGTGCAGACGTTACAAAAGGAAAGTTTCTACCCTTCCAAACTGTCTGTGACTTTTAACGGGCGGGCAGCAGTTCTGTGATTGTATTCGAACAAGCACACACTAGCCACCCACTTCCCGTGGCACTACCTACACAGCCACACTTCAGAAATGGCCTACTCTTGTTTCCAGTGTCTGCTGCCTCCTCTTCACCTCCCGGCCAGCCCTGAGCACCCTGTCCCTCTCTTAACTGGCACAGTGGCAGGAAACACCAAACAGAAATGGCCCACCCCAAAGGGACTTGGTCCCTAAGCACCTGCAGCAAAGAGGGCCTGCTTGAGTCACCGGGGGGCACTGCCCGTGCAGGAGCCTCAGGTAGGTCAGGCCTGCGGGGGTCTGCGCCTCGGTCCCCCACCTGTGAAACTCGGGCACGAGAACCCCTGCTCACCAGCCCCTTCCAGCTCTAGGGGCTGTGCTGGACTCAGCACCCTGCATTGTTTCCACCGGCTCTTCCTGGGACCCCAAGGACCTCCAGAGACCCCCCCACACACACTGGTTGTGGTTCCACTGGTTGTGGAACACCCAGTGAGGCTGAAGCGTGCACACCCACAGCCTCGCCTACCCTCACACGGTCCGGTGCTTGCACCCGAGGGGTTAGGACACTGTTCACATTCAAGATCACTACAGCTGTGTTGCACTTGTGAAAAAGAGAGAACAACCTAACTACCCACGGATAGGGGATGGAGAAAGGTGTGCTGGTCCACCCAGAACCCCTACGGTAGTTAAAGCAAACAAATAGAGCACCACAAACCGGCCCCGACGAGTCTCTGAACTGTCGCGCCCGACACAGACAAAGCTCACGGTAAAATTGTACACACAAAACTATAAACGTTTTAAATGTGCAAATGACACTCTAGCTGGGACAGGGAGGAGATACACAGGGGGCAGGGGTCTGGGACTAGTACCTGGGGTCACGGAGGGGTCCCTGCCTTGCCATCTGGTAATGGTGGGCTTCTAACTGAATAATAACATGTAGAAAGACACAGGGGTAAGCCTTGTATTTAAGAGAAAGTTTTTTTAGGATCTTTTGCAGATACTTTCCATTTTAAGAAAATCAGTAAAATTATTTATGGTATCTGACTACAAATAAGTAATTTCAGCTTGTGAACAGTTAGCAACTATAAAATAAACTCTACATAATACCTGAATGACTTAAATCAATATACCATATTATAGAATGTATATATATATATATATATGTGTGTATATATACTCACATACATGTGAATGTATATTTTTACTGAGATAATTCACATACCATACAATTCACCCTTTTAAGCTGTAGAATTAAATGCTTTGAAGCTCCACTTCACTGAGGTGTCTCAGAACAGTTTCATCACCCCCAAAAGAAGCCCTGCACCCCCAGTGGACACCGCCCTCTCCCCTTGAACCCTGTCCCCCGCTGGCCCTGGCAACCACCAGTCTACTTTCTGTGTCTGCTGATTCATCTGCTCTGGACATTTCGGATCAGTGCGATCCAACAGTATGTGGCCTTTTGTGACTGGCTTCTTTCACTGAGTATGTATTCAAGGCTCATCCACATTGCGGCGCAGGTCGGAATTTCGTTCCTTTTACGGCTGAATGATGGTCTATTGTACGGATATACCACCTTTTATTTACCCGTTCACCAGCTGGTGGAGCAGATTTTGTTCATGCAAGGAGTCTGCGTTTTCCATAATTCTAAGGCAGAATAAACCGCCCCCACCGGCTTTACACGCGCTTCCTGGGGAAGGAAAGGCCCACGCAGGCGACCGCTCCTGGCTCACCTTCTCCTGGGCAGACCTGGCCGCACTCCAGACCTGCTGCACCGCCAGCTCCAGGGGCTGCTGCTGCGGATCCGCCTCGAAGGAGAGGGGCAGTGGGCCCTGGGGCAGAAAAGCACAGTAAGCAGATGCACGATGGGGATGCCCGCTTTTTAGAAAAAACTCTGCATTTCCTATACAGCTCTGCAAATCGAAGAAAATATAACATGGCTTATTTTTGTTAAACCCGTGCTTCTAAGGGGCAGCAATGGTCAAAAATCAGTAAGTGCACACCCCTGGGGACCGGCTCAGGCTGGACTGGTTATGGGACAAGGGTGGGACGTAGGGAAACACAGGAACGAGAGCGCAGCTGTCAGGGTCAAGGCCATGAAGGGCGTCCTGAACGTTCACGTTCACGGTGCAAGGTCGCAGGCTCTTTCAGGAGGTTTCGCTGCAGGTCAGTGGTCAGTAGGTCCATGGGTGCAGCAGCACCGTATCTGTGTCCTCCCCTTGTCCTGGTGAAACCCTCTGTTTGTAGAGGAACACTGCTCCCTGACCCCTGGTTGCTGGCACTGTGCTTAAGGTGCCCCCTTCTCTTTTCCCACTGCCCCAGAGCCGGCCCCCTCTTGCTGGGATTGGGACCCGTGGCTGGATAAGAGCCCGAGCAGCATGTTCCTGAGCTCCTGCCCCCACGGCCTCCTGGTCCCACCCTGCCTCGGCTCTGCCCACCCTCCCGCACCCCATCCCGTAAACTCCCCCGTGGCTCCTCAGCCTGCATCCACTCAGGTTCTTGCCATTAAAAATCTCCAAGTGAAAGAGATGTGCAATTAAATTAGTATGACCCCCAAAGCAACACGACTGCTGTCTTATGAAAGAACAAACCAGGGCTGGGGTAGCCAACCGGGTCTTGTCTGTTTTAAAATAAGTTCTCTTGAGAGGCCAAACACTTAGGCCAACAGCCTGACCCTGGAATAAAAACTTTTCTTAAACGCTTCCTGATGCACATTGTGGTCAACAGGTTCGGACTGGGGGGGGGGCTGCAAGGAGAACGTCTGCCCACAGCTTCCCACCACTCCCCACCCATCTCAGAGGCTCCCCGCTGCGGTGAGCTGGTTCTGACTACAAGACACGATCGGAGTGGGAAAATAAAATTCTGCAAGAGGCACACAAGCTCTTCTGGCAGACGCGGCACAAACGAGCAGGTGAGGGTGTCAACAGAGGCTACTTCTTAGGAATTCCACGTGGTCCAAAAGAGTAAACAGGCACAGAATGCTTCCAATCACGCCTCACCCTGCGCCACCCCGCCCACTTCGCTGCCCAAAAATCATCAGAGGAGAAGTAACTCCACTCCCCAAGAGCAATGAAATCACGGTTTGGGGCTGCTCTGCCGCGTTCTCCAAGGCCGGTGCTTGCTCTGCGATGACCTGCCGGCAAGGGGTATGCCGTGAGCCTGGTGAGGGCACGGCCCACGTACCAGGCTGGCTGGCCGAGAGAGCAGCCCTCGCCACAAAGCCAGTGCCAGGCAGGGAACTGACCCACAACAGTGCACTTTCTGCCCCAGCCTCAAGAGCCACCAGTGCCGCGAGCAGCTGCACATGGCCTCCAGCCCTGGGCACAGGTGGGTGCAGCCCACGCCCTCTTTCTTACGTTGCTACCTTGAGGATTAAAACCCTGGACAGATCCTGCCAGGAAAGCTAACGTCAATGGGTGGTCTCACCGAGGAAATAAATGACTAATTTAAAAGGAGGACACAGGTTCCCTTTCCCCTCCTGATTGCCTGTCAAGTTTCAGGAAGCCTAGTGTGTACAGAGCACTCAACCTCAAACTCACATTCCAGGTGCCACCTACCCTGCTTAGACGAAAGCCAGACTCAATGTCCACCTGGGAAAGCGACACACAGCAATCGCCAGGTAAACACTAAGAAAGGAAAACCATGAGGGGGACTACCCCTGCCAGACATTTGCACCCCCTATAGACTCTACATTTCAGACGGGGTAGACAGGGCATGAACACACAAATGGACGAGGGGACAGGAGCAGAAAGTCCCAAACTAGACCCAGATTCCTGGGTAAACTGAGCATGGGACAAGAATGGCATCCCAGGTCACTGGGTAAACGTAGATTCTCTCTTTAATCAGGATGTGGGAGGAACCGCACATGGAAGGCAAACACTAATAAACAAACCTAATGCATCACAAATGAATATCATGACCGCCCGAGGCGGTGGAGAAACCCAGGTCTAAGGGAAACGGCACCCTGACCGCACACAGACGCCGTGATCTGGGCAGTAAGTGAGCTTCTCGCAGGGGTGCGGGTCAGCAGATCAGAGGCTACTCTGCGTGAATGCTAGATGCGACCAAAGAGTAAACACATCCCAGATGATAAGTACCCGACGCCTCCCCCCGGAGAAGGAAGTGCCAAACACGGCAAGGGCCGAATGAGATGAATTCTGTGCTGTTGCCCTGAAGACCAAGCAAGCAGCCTCGAGCCGTGATTTTGAAAGCACAGACAGAAACATAGAGAAATACAGACGTGTGCCTGAGTGTATTGTATGCACACCCATGCTTCCCAGCTCTGTCCACTAAAAAATGCAAAAGCAATGAGACCCCAGCAGAAATGAGCACACCTGGTGCCCAGACCTTCGTTTCTACAGGCCCCACCAGTAGAAGGGATCGGGAGTGCCCTGAGAAGGGGCTGAACCCAGGACCGAAAGAGGGAAAAACACAAGAGGAGTCTAGAAAAATCACCTGTGGGACCAGGAAGTAAGGAAGGGCTACACACACACACACACACACACACACACACACACACACACACACACACACACACATGACCTTCTACCTTGATGGAAGAATACAACGGCCCGGCCCATATCACCGAAGCAACAAGACAAATAGCGACAGTAAAAATATCCATAAGTCCACAGAATAAAATATCCATAAGTCCACGCTGATGTGAACAATCAACTAAATACACAGATGGAGGAGAAGCAGCAGCTCTTTCTTCCAATGAATAAATGTGGGAGGGACGAAAACAAAAAAAGAATCACCATCGAACAAACTCCGAAGAAGTAACTGCTGCAGACTCATCACACAGACGGATGCCAAAATTCATCCACAAAGAGTAAGGATAACAGGACGTGTATAGTCGCAAAGTATCTCCGTCCGCAAAGTACCTTCGACTCCAGAGGGGATGGTGTGATACAAGAGGAGACATAAGACAGAAGAAGAGAAACCAGCAGAAACCACCTTTACCAAGGGATTCACGCCAACGTCCCCAGCGGCAAGTTACAACGACATCATGAACCCTGTGACAAAGTATATGGAAAGGGACACATCGATTCTGTGGTATTAACCTCAGGCCCATTGTGTAAAAACACAAAATTGAGGGACATTTGGCAAAAGAATAATCGACACTCTCCTGAGTTGCCACGGTTGTAGAAATCAAGGAGAGACCATACAGAACTGTTCCAGACTCCCAGAGACTTAACATCATGGGGACCTAAATGGGACCCCGGAACAAGGAAAGATACTGGCGGAAAAATCCATGAAATTCACATAAGGTCTTCAGTTTAGTTAAAGACCATTGTCAATGTTAATATCTCATACTGTGACAATGTTAATGTCACTGTACCGTGGATTATACTAACATTGTGCCAATGTTAATTTCTTGTCCTGTTACATTAATATCATTGTACCATGAATTATAGTAACATGGTGCCAATATTAATGTCTTATACTGTTACAATGCTAATATCATTATACTGTGAATTATAGTTACATTGTGCCAATGTAACTTTCTTGTCCTGTTACAATGTTAATATCATTTTACTATAAATTAAAGTAACATTGTGCTACAGTTGTATGACACTGGGTAAGAGATACATGAAAACGCTCTGAATGACTTTTGCAACTTTTCTATAAATCTAAGAGCAGTAAGAAATAAGGTTTTCTTTAAAGGGGCCTTAGAAGAAATCAGCCCATCTTTACTGACTCTATTTGCTAAACCCCTCACAGAGATAGCCTCTCACCCAGAGTGGATTCTGTTTTCCATATTGAATCCACACTTACCCTCTTCTACAAATGAAGCACAGAGAGGTCAGGTTTTGCCCAAAGTCACACAGCCCCAGAGCTTTCAGCCTGAGTAGTGAACACAGCTCTTCCAAGCGGCTCAAGAAGTCCCCTCCCAACTAAGCAGCCCAAGGGGAGCAGACAGGGGTCCAGTCAGCTTTGGCTGCATCTTAGTTAAACACTGCAGCCACTCTTCCTTTCCCTGAACGGTTGAGAGTGCAAAAACCAACCTGACCTGGGGCCTGTTCCTGGCTTTCATATGGACAATTTGCAAAGTCATCAGGGAGCCGGCCTCCTCTAATGTTGATTCTTTAGAAGTGAACACAAAGCACATTAAACAGCTTGTTTTCCCCAGGCTTGGCTGGCTCCCAAGAGGGGAAGGCCTGTGTCCAGCTGGGGTGATGCGCACGGCCGCCATGTCTCCTCCTTCCCATTACAAGTCTCTAACAGGCCCCACCATTCATCCCACCCCCACCCCCACCACTGCCTGCTGTGAAACAGCCTGACACCGGGCACCAGGTGGACTGTGCCCAGACAGGCAGGGCTCTGGCCTAGCTCACAATCCCGTGAGACACAAGTGACCGTAAGGCACTAATCGATCCAGGCTGCTGGGGTGGGGTTGGGGCAGCATTCTGGAAATGTGGCCCAGGGACCCCTTTCTGAAAAGTTTACAGACGTTAGGTGAGGGCAAAGGTGAAACCAGTGTTCCAGACGAAAGGAATAACCCAATGATGGCCCCATGGGCAGAACCCTGAATGTTTGAACAACAGGAATGAGAACAGTTTGGGGTGTGGGGGTCACGGTGAAGGGTGCCCCCCTCAATCCAGCTGGCTTCATATTCTTGCAAACTGACTTCTTACACTGTGGCCACTGTGGACGGTACTATGTCACCAGGAGAGCTCTGAAGGCTTGTCACTTCGTTTGCATGTTAAATGCTGAAGCTCATCCGCAAGTCAGAGCGATGAATAATCTGCTCAAAGTTTGCACAGCATCTTTCCTGTTTTTTCCCCTGAAAACCACAAACTGCCCCGTCTTTGTCATTTGCATTTAGAACACCCATGTCCCAAGGCAAAGGACTGAAAAAACAAACGGCTTCAGGGCGGCCCGTGGCTGGACAAGTCCAGGACACAGCCCCCACTCTGGGGTCAGGACTCCCCGTGCGTGGCATCCACCTGGGAGGGAGGCGAGGTCCAGCTTACCCGCAAGGGTCTCCGGGCCACAAGGCCTGGCTTCCACAGTCAGGGGGCTGCTGCGGAAATGGCAACCCAGAGGCCCCAGGGGGGTGGCGGGGGTGCGGACCATCATTGGGTTGCCTGCCTGTCACAGGCGAACCCTTTTGTAGACATCAGTGTGACACAGGGGAACTAAAGGGAAACCCTCAGCTCTTGCTTTCAGGTAACAGGGCATTCGTTCCAAATCTAGTGACCGAGAGAGGCAGGTCCGGGGTCTGTTCTCCTTGTCGGCACTGTGGTCAGACAGACTGGAGTTCGGGGTGTTTGCAGCACTGGAAGGGAGAGGCGGCGGTGTTGGGCGACCAGCCGTTAGCTGGCGTCGGGACAGGCACATACCCGGCCGCCTCTCCCTAGAGAGAAGCTGGCGTGGGGAAGCCCCCCGCACCCCCACCAGCCTACTGAGTCCGAACTGCAGGGAGGGGGAAGGCATGTGTGTTTTTCCAAAGCTCTCCAGACAATTCACCTGTGCTCCCCAACACCTGGCATCGGCCCGGCCAGCTGGCACAGCGGCCATGGTTCCCTCCCGTGCCTCTCCAACTCACCACCCTAATTTAAAAATAGTTTCGGAGTGAGGGTTGGGAATCACGTTGCTGCTGGACACGAGGAACTTGTGCTGCCCCAGTCACTGGTCACCCAGAGTCAAAGGGTTATCGCTCAATCCTCAGGTCCCGGGGTAAAGGGGGACCATAGTTGGGGGTGATATGTTAAACAATAGAACACTTTGTATCCTTTCTTTAAAAAAAAAGATTTTATTTACTTATTTTTTAGACAGAGGGGAAGGGAGAAAGAAAGAGAGGGAGAGAAACATTGATCAGCTGCCTCTCACACACCCCCAACCAGGGACTTGGACTGCAACCCAGGCATGTGCCCTGACCAGGAATTGAAACAGTAACCTTTTGATTTGTGGGTCAGCATCCAACCCACTGAGCCACCGAGGTCAGGGACCCTTTGTCCTTTCTTGCTGGACCTCAGTTAAGGGGGACACATGTGTCTCCAAGTCAAATTTGCTGCCCACAGGAGAATGTGAGCAGATGTGGATGGACTGTGACGTCCCAGACCAGGGTCTAGGTCAACCTGGCAAGTCTCCCCAGCTCATGAACCTCAGTCTCCCCTCTGGAGAAGGAAGGGGCTTTTCTAGAAGAGTTTAGGGTTCCTTTTGCTCTAAAAATACAAAGCTGGGGAAGACTTAGAATGAGAGGAGTTACTATCTCCATTCAGTAGAGAATTCCACTTTTCACAAAGATGCTGGATATGATCAATGACATCCAATGTGTCCCCAACCTCCCCAGTGACAGGCTGAGAAGTGGTCCCTTCCCCAGCCAGGGCAGAGAGATAACAGGACAGGCTGGGAGGTTGGGGGGAGGGGCACTAAACTGCGGTTCTCTGGGCCTAGTGGGCATGGAGTGTCACCCCTAATCCGGGATTAGTGGGAATCAAGTTGGAGGGAGGGCACAGAGAAACTGCAGAGCTGGCTGCCGGGGTCAGGATACCCAGAGAATCACCAGCCTGCACAGCCATACTGCCATCGGTGCTACAACGGTGACAGCCTCGGACGGGGTGTGGGGGCGGGGGGGGGCATGACAAGTCAATAGGAAGGGGCCGAGTTCCCCAGATCCTGTCTGCCTGCAGAACCTCCCATTTGAACTCAAATCAAGCAACAGGTCCAGGCACTGGGGAGCACAATAAAATCCAACCCACAGCCACCCAAGGCTGTTAGGGACGGCTCTGCACTGCTTTGAGCTTGAACCCTGTGCACTAGAGCCCCTTCCAGGCAGGAGTCTGCAGACACCGATGTCTCCGACTGCAGTGCGTGGTCGAGAGCAGACAGAGAACAGAAAAAGCAGAGTGTCACAGACAAGCCCCGTCTCTCTCCACTCCCTGAACACAGAGCCGTCCATGCTCCCACAAAGTCAAGTGAGTGTGTGAAAGGTTTTCTTTCGAAACCTTTGGTTCCTTTAGGGTTCTCAGCTTCACCTGACCAACCAGACATTCTAGAGAGGAATTTCCAACACCCCAGGGCGATCTGGGAGTGGTGTCTAGGGCAATCCCATTTCCTGGCATGAATCCAGAAGTGGCAGGAAATGAGAGCAGAATGGGTTAAGCAGGGCTATCCCAACTCACACACAGAAGGCAGGGCCCTCCCTGCCTGTGCACCTGAAACTCCATTAGGGGCCCAGGGTTGGAGTGACAGACCCTGCAGCTCACTCACCCGACACTCCCTTGAATTTGAGAGCGAGCAGGGACAAGGCTCATATGCACTCACACCAGCAGCCAAGGTGGGCTCGGCCCCAGGACCTGGCCTGTGACACCAGGTCAATTGAGGGTCAGTGACGGCAGCCTGGTGGGGAGACAATTCTGTGTTTGCTTTAGGGCTGCCACAAGAGATGGGTGGTTCCCCTGACCAGGAAATGTCCAGCTCTGGACAACAGGGACATGGACTGCAGGCACCAGGACAGACGGCAGTCAACTGACCTTGAAGCATTTATTTTTCATTTATATGCACCACTTTGGTTTTCAAACCCACGGCCCTGTGAGTCAAGGCTGTGGCCCAGAGACCAGGCACAGGGCCCACTCGGGGACACTTTGAAGGATGGCGGGCCCAGGCACAGCGCATTCGCTGTTTCCACAGCCTGTGGCACAGGCTTTGCCCCCGCCCCCCTCCCGCTCACACCTGGGCAGGATCGTAGAGCAGGGAGGACCAGCAAAGTCTGAGAGGCATCTCTGCACTCCCACCAGGCCCTCATTCCTGTCCGGAAATAGGAGACACCAGGAGTTTGTCATTAGACTAAGATGTCTTAAAAGTAAAAATAAGTCACCATGTCATTAATTCCGGAAGAAACAAAACCACAGGAATGTGTGGCATCGGGGCATCGGTTAGGTCACAAGCCCCTGAGCTTCGTTTGGGGTGGGAGGCAGCTGGACTCCAATCCCAGCTCAGCCCAGCATGGGCTGTGGGACCTTGGGCGGGTCACTTAACCTCTCCAGACCTCCGTTCCTCACCTGGGAAGTGTCCACAGTCCCAGGAGTTGTGAGGATTCACGAGAGTGAGCCCAAAACCCTCAAGACAGTGTCTGGCAAGCGGCTGGCTCTCAACGAATGGCCACCCATTTCACAGGCCGGGAAACGCAGGGGCACCTTGTAGAAATGAGTTCTTGGGGAGATGCAGCCCTATCGATGGAGCATTTTGGGGTCGCAGTTATTCATACATCAGGTGCAAAAGCAGAAAGTGTCCAGTCGGGAGCCAGAACCCACCCGGGACTCTGGAAGGGCGAAGGGAATGGGCCCCTCTGATGAGTCTCTCCAACAGCCAGTACCTGGCACAACTCACGTGTGGTGAATAGGGTCTTGCCACCTCGTTTTGACTCCCCAGGGTCTTTCTCCTAACTTTCAAGGATGCCGTCCCCCGGGAAGGCTCACTTAGATCAGTCGAGGGCTGCGTGAGGAGCCCCTACAGAGGAGGCTCAGCACCGAGGGCCCGCACCCCGCCGTCAGCCGCACCCGGCCCGCAGCACCACCACCACCCTCCAGAAACTCACCCCCTTTCGTCTGGCCTCCTGATTCAGGGCGGCCACCCAGGCGGCCTGCCACTGGCACCTCCAGCTGTTCAGCGTCAGAATCCAGGAGAGCAGCACGTCCGACTCGGGGCGCTGGTCCTCGCCAGGCTCCGCCACCCGCCGCGGGGACCGTGATCGCGCCCTGGCCAGCGCCCACTGCGCCAAGTACAGGCCCACCGTGCCCAAGGCCACAACGAAAAGCGACACCAAGACCAGCCACTGGACTTCACCGAGCCACGAGTCCAGGCGGGACATGGTGATGGCGCATACCCGGCGCGCCTCGCCCCACAACTTGCCAGGGCAGCCCCTGGCGGGGCGCGTAGCCCGCGGTGGCGAGCTCAGGACATCAGACAGAGGCCGGCGGGGGGCGTGGAGGGGCGCAGCGGGCTGGATCTGGGTGGCTGGTGGCGTGGGCCTGGGGCCCTGGACGCGGAGCTCGGAGTCGGGAGCCCGGAGCTGGGAGACCAGGCGGGGTGAGCTGGAGGAAAAGCCGGCCCGTGCACGGCGGCCACAGTCCAGAACTGCGCCCCAACCCCGCACACCTGGCAATGGTGACGCGAAGACCGGCGTTCCCGACTCGGCGTCTGGGTAGTTCCCGGGGCGCAACCCGCGCGTTTCCTCCTGCGCGCACCGCCCCCCGTCGTTCGGCTTGCTGCCCAGCCGTGGCCGGAGAGACTCCGGCTGGGGGGCGGGGCAGTGAGGTGGGGCGGGGCCGGGTCCTAGGGGGAGGGGCCTGGGTCACTAGTGCCCGGGCCATCCCCGCCCCCTTAAAGGCCCCGCGCGTCCAACCCCTGTGGGCGCGCCCCCGCCACCGCTCTGGGCTCTGGTCTGACCACGCGCGCGCCACCCGCCCCCTCCCGCGACTTCCGGCGGGCAGCCGCAGCACGACGGCCCTGCTCCGAGAGCCAGGGGCAGCTTTCTCCAGCGCTGACACGCTCCCGGCGTGGCGACGCTACGCGGCCACGCGGTGCGCGGGACTTTCCAATTAGCTGGATTCCAGTAATGCTGTGGGGCTGGTGACTCGGCTTCCCTGCGGGTGTGCGCGTGCATGTGCATGTGTATGTGTGTGCACGCCTATTTGAGCCTGTGCATATGGAAAGGTAGTTTCTAGGATCACCAGGTGCCCTCCACCGTGACAATGTCTGGTTTTGACATAGGTGGAAAGTCCCTGGGAATCCAGGACCCGCACCCCGGAGTCAGGAGGGCCTGAAGACGGGTCATCTGTGCACGGGATGTGTTATCTGTTAGGAGGCATGTGGGCACTCCGGTGTCTGGCAGCCCCGCCCTGCGCCCCTCACCTTGCAGTCAGGCCCCGTCATTAGGAAATGCCACAAAATACCAGTCTAAAATTCTCTAAGGCCTAAATCATAAAAGTGATTGTGATATTTTTCTGCAACTGTATTGAGGGGATTTGACCTTGAATTGAATTGGGTTGGCTAGATCTGACTTTTAGCCTTTGGTTACCTGGCCAGAATCTGCTGATGGGCGGGTCTCTGGAGTAAGCCCGGTGGTGAGTCTGGCTGTGCCCTGCGCAGCCCAGGGCAGCTCACTGATTCTGCCTCAGCCCCTCCCACCCACTGCACAGGATGCCTTAGAACCCGGCTGGGGGAGTTTGCCAAGAAGACAGACAAGCTGGGCAGATCTGAGACTAGAATCTAAGTCTAGTTCCCAGGCTAGTGGCACTTATTGTCACCCATTATGCAAAACCTCTGGAACAGCTTCGCAAAGAGAACCACAGATACTGTGAAGGCTCTGCCCTGGACACCAAGTACTAAAGACAGGGAGTGAGGTACCTTCTAAAAAGGAGAGGTTAGAGTGATGACATATGCAGAAGTGTGTGAGCCTGCTTTTGCATGTGCAAAGGCCCTGAGGCCTGCGTGTAGCTCCCTACCTCTGAGGCAGAGTGAAGGGGGTGGTGTGAGGGCTGGAGGCAGTCAGAGGTGGGCTGGGGGCTGCCACTGAAACACGGGTAGTAGACTGAGTCACTGACAAAGAGAAGCAATACACTGTAGGAAGCACAGAGTTGTTTTAAAAATTGTACTTTACAAAGATCACTCCCAGCAATGGGTAGAGGAGGCTGGGTTGAAAAAAAATGCGGAGGGAAGAAAGTCCAGCTAGGGGGTGGCCCCAGGGTCCATGAGAAGGGCTTCCTTAGGCTAGAGCATGTCAGGGGACAGGGGGTGGTCCCCCGCAGGAGAGGGTGTTTCTTGCCTAGAGGCTGGAGGCCAGGACGTGAGAGTGAGTTTGAAATTGTGGGATGTAGAGCAGCAGGAGGATGAAAGAAGTTTCGAGGGTCCTGATTTTCTTCCAGCAAAAGGAATCGGGAGGCAGCTGGACCAAGCACCCTTTGTGAGAAACAGAACAGGAAGCTGGCAGGGAGCTGAAATCATCGGATTGCCCAGGTGAGCTGGGCAGGGGGGATCCAGCCCTTACCAGGCAGGTCTGATCATAGAAAGTGGAACTAGAATGGTCCTCTGAGCTTTTCTGTAAATCACCTGGTCCTTCAACACTAGCTCTCCCTTCATCCCACAGTCCCTGAAAGGTTGGGGGCATGGCTCTCCCTTGCCCAGAAATCTCTTCTCTGGAGCAAGCCTCCAATTATTTCCTGATCTGCAGTTGAATGACTCGAGCCCTGCTGGCCCTCTTGCCAGCATACCAGGGGCACCAGATACCTCTGCTCCCCATCTCCCTACTTGGGCACGTGTCCACGGGCACGCGTGCACACTGGCTGTAGCCAGGGTGGCAGTTAGGAGAGGGCCCGTCCTGTCCTGTGTGACTGGTGGAACCGGTCTCGTTCTTCACGGCCACTTTCCAAGGGATGTGCACCCCCTTGGCTCATTCAGAGGCTTGTAACAAACTGTAAACTAACAACCACCTCTGGTTTGGAGTTTTTACAAAGGACTGTACACATTTAGGGGCTGAATCACTTCTTTGTAGAACCAAATGGAGGGAGAATAAGAAACCACCTGGGCTTACCGAAAAATGCAGTTGACCGAAACATGCAACACTAACGTCTTCTAAATCTGTGAGAAAGCCAGGCCGCCTTCACATCTGCTCCCAGCCCGGCATCCATCCAGGCAGGTCTCCCAGTGCCATCCATCCAGGGCTCCGAGGACAGCCAATGACTCAGCTCTCTGTAAGAACAGCATTGTCCCCGCAGGTAGTGACATTCCCTGTCCCCAGCAATGCAGCCCTCTCCTCCACTCGACATCCCTCCAACCCAAGGGCCAGGCTGCTGCTCTGCCTGAGAAGGACGCTGGTTCTGGCCCACTGCACCTTCTGATGGGTAGGTCCTCCACGCTCTGCACTGCAAAGGTCATTTGCTGGCTTTGGTGCTCCTAAAAGGAAACCCCTATCTTTTGAATTCTGTATCTCGTACCCATTGAGCGTCTGTGAGCAGGTGGGGAGGGCCTGGGGGTCTGGGCACTGGCCGTTGCCCCCGAGCCTGGGTCTTACACCTGGGGAGTGGGGGGTGGGGCTGAAAGCAGCTCACGGGGGCCCTAGGGAACCCAACCTCACATTAACCTACAGGACCCATCAGAAGCAGCCACCTTCCTGGAATATTCTGGAACCTCAGACCAGGTGGGTCCCATGGGGACAGAGAGGAAACAGCAGAAACTGTATTTCCAAATTTCTCCTCAGAATGTTCTATGGTAACTGGTTGTGAGACAGGAGCATAAGACGCAGGAATAAATGCTCCATTGTTCTATTTTTCATTTTTAAAATGTTTCTGGCCCTGGCTGGTGTGGCTCAGGGGATTGAGCACCAGCCTGCGAACCAAAAGGCTGCCAGTTTGATTCCCAGTCAGGGCACAGGCCTGGGTTGCAGGCCAGGTCCCCAGGTGGCGGCATGCGAGAGGCAACCCATAGATGTATCTCTCACACATCAATGTTTCTCTTCCTCTTTCTCCCTCCCTCCCCCCTCTCTAAAAATAAATATATAAAATCTTTTAAAAAATAAATAAAATGTTTCTAACATGCTCTTCATGGAGACAAGTATTGCTTGCTGGGTGATCTTCACCCAGTCACCCCATTTCTGGCCGACTCTTCCATGCATCCAAGGTAGAGTATTTTAACGTCTTCCCCAACTTGGCCCAAGAGATTCTGTGATAATGTTACACTTTTTAAAACCAAGATATATGCTCAGTGTCATCTAGGCTTCATATCTACAATTGAAATTATACTTATTAATACTAGAAATTAGTCACCATTGAATCAGGTATTCTTATGGGTTTATAAAATACTGAACAAAAATTGGGATGTATACATAAATACTTGTCCAAATTTTTGCTAAATTTCCAATGAATTATTGTAAATTTCTAGAAGAGGAAAGGAGGGCGTCAGGAGAGTTTTCTGTGTGTCTCTAACTTTGCAGAGAAGTTTTTGCACTGTAGCAGTTTTGCTTGTGACGATGTTAATGATGGTGGGGGAGAGGTAGCTTGAATTACCCGGTTATGCCCTGCACCAGGATGGACCGGCATCCCGGGCCCTGGGCCCCAGGCCCCAGCAGGGCTCCGCTGAAAGACCTGAGACAGAGGACCTGTGAAATGGCCAGCTTCCCCCAGTGGCCCTGGAAGGAAGACATTCCGAGAATTCCCTGTTAGCAGAACGCTGCCAAGACTTGGCTGCACGCCCTCCCTCCCTCCCTCCGCAGTGGGGTCTGTGTAGAGGCTGCAGCCCATCTCCTTGACAACAATCGCACGGGCTTAGTCATTTCCACTGTCCGGAGGCCCGGGTGTGCATCAGGCCAGTTTCCGGCTGTGCCTGCGGGTGGATTCCTGGAGCCTTAAACCGGGTCAGAGGCCACCTGAGGCCAGAGCCAGAGCCTGCAGCAGCAGTAGGCTCCAGGAGAGACCCTAAGAGACCCCACTGACCATGCCCATGACTGACTGAGATCTTGCTCATGGTGCCTTCCTGGGAGAGAAGCAGCCATCCCTTGTAACTGCACTAACTCCACAGGCACAGCCTCAGAAGGGCTGGAAGTCCCTGCGCCTGAGGGCTGGGCCACAAGCCAGCTGACCCTGGCACAAATACTATGACAGAGATGGCGGTCACCAACCAGCAAGCTTCTTCCAGTGGTGTTGCTGCACATCCCTGCGATGGGGGTCCCCACGGGCACACCCCGAGTGGCGGGTGTGGCGGTCATGGCTGTGTGTACCAACAGACACAAGGGACATCTGGACTTGACGGGCTCACCTCATTTTTATGGCAACACTCAGAGGATGACATTATCTGTTTTAAAAATGAGGAAGCTGAGTTCAGAGACGTTGAGTCACTTGTCCAAGGCTACACAGTGAAAAAGTGGCAGAGACAGGGTTTACCCCCAGGGGACATTGACTCCAAAGCCCTCATTGTTTTCCATCAAGTTCTATAAAGCAAACAAACTCTACTAAAAAGAGAAACATGTGAAAAGGGGGAAATGAAGGGGTCCCGTTTCTCATGTCCTTGAGCAGAGATCTGTCGAAAGAAGACGAATTGCCCTTTGTGTTCCGAAGAAGTCCGGGAGACACTGAGTCTTTCAAACCCAGAGGGGAAGGAAGTTCACTTAGTTCCCTAGAGGGACTTGGATGGGGCAGCTGCCCTGTCCCAAGCCCTTGCCCGGGGAAGACAGAGATGAGTCCCACCCCCGTGCCTGCCTGGTGTGGAGATGGCTGGGCAATCAGAGGACCATCCT